GAAACCAAGTCACTGACTCCGAGCTTCCTTTCTCGACGGACACGACAGGGGGAAAATCTGTTAAATTACATGCCTCACTAAAATAGTTTTTCTGTTTATATATGATAAATTTCAACAGTAGTTCCAAGAAGTCATATATATATAATTCTCTCCTAATATTCTGCAACCCACTTTTCTATTCTGCTATATTATTCCTAATATCAGAAAGTAATAGATGTTTAAACTAGCCATTTAAAAATGAGTTCAGTTTTATTTTGCCTCCCTACTGTAATTTGCAAGGGCAAAATCCTTGCAGACAAAGAATGTGGTAAAAGCTTCAGAATGCAAAGGAATTCTGTTAAAGAAATTGAGTTAAACTAAAGTAAATTGGCTCTCAATAAATCCATTGTTTGTAGACCTTTTAAAGCAAACACCAAGAGAACTGAATAAATAGCTTTTATACTTTTCACTTTCATTTTGAGGCAATATCAAACCCCGTTACCACTCTGTAGCAGTGGATTAGAAGCATATATAAAAAGGATAATGACAAAAAGAATCGGAAAGGATGTGAGGTTATGTGGGCCCTAAATGAAGCATATTTTTAATTCAAATGCAAAAGATATTCCCAAGGTGCTTCAGATTTATTCCTGGAATATAAACTAAGTGGGGTGCCTATATGCATGGTACAGCTAAAAAATAAAGAATCAAAGTATTGTTAAATAAATACAGTCAACCTAACTATTGCATGTGATGCACATTATGAGAACAATATGTTAGAAGTATACCCTGAGCTGTGTAATGGAAGAGGAAAAGTTTCTTCAGAGTTCTATGCCACTTCTTGTACCTTGCAAATGAATTGGATTTGATATTTGATATTCTTTTAGCTCGGAAGCATGCTAATTAGATGGATATTGTTCACACATTCTTTCTCTGGGTGTTTGGCAACCATTTCAATTTTTATTTATTTATTTGTAAGATTTATTGGCCGTCCATCTTACCATGTAATTATTCCTGAAATAACCAGAATTAACTATGGTTTTCTTTTCTTTTTAATTTATTTTTCCTTGATGAAGAAATGGAAGTAGCCCAACTTCATGGAGTTGCCTCTATGTCCGTCCATACAGCATCTCTGTCTGGATTCAGCCCTCCAATGGAGTGGTGGAAAGGCCACTGCTGAGGCAACCACAAATTATTTTTCTGGACAAACAGGTATGAAATTCAAAGACATACACTTCATACTTTAGGTTAGAAACTGATGTAGGATCTAGGGCTTCTAGATTTATTCATTTTTTTTAAATCTTGACCTTCTTGGATATTGTTATAATTATGTTAAATTGGAATATGTTGTAATCAGAGGGGAAATAAAGGAAATTCCAAATAAATTGGTCAACATGTTCCACACAATTTTTTCCTTTTTAGCCTTTTAGAAATAATATTAATTGTAGCTCAGGAATCTTGCATTTCTACTATTTTTTCCAATAGCTGCCAAAATTTGTTGTAGGTTCCCATTAATGTTACCTACCATTTCCACTGTTTCCACAACTTCATCTTTATTAAGGATTACCAGTGTTTTATTCATGATACCACACATGTGTGTATGTGTGTGTGCACGCACACACACACCCACCCACACATACACAAAGAGAGAGGGAAAAAGAGAGGAGAGAAGGAGAGGGAAAGGGAGAGAGGGAGAGAGAAAGAGAGTACCTACAAACTTCAGTGTAATTTCCTTTTATCCTCTTTGTAACTGATAGCAAATTTTCTGCAAGACATTACATGAAGCTTAAAATTAGCAGACTTAATCTTCAAAGAAGGCAGAAACCATGGAAGACATGGGAAGTGAGGCTGGATTATTTAATCTGAGATTATGCAGGCCTCCTTTCTTCTGCAACTGCTAGTTTAGACCAGCGGTTGCTAACCGGTAGGCCATGGCCCACTGGTGGGCTGTGAGAAAATTTTGGTGGGCCGCAGAGAAATCTCACCCCCAAAGCACCCCCCCAAAGTAATTAATCCAGGCTGTGCAGAAACACAAGGCTGTGCCACCCACATGGCCCGTGGGAACCTTCCCCGCCCACTCACTCCTTACCCGGCAAACTTGCTTTTTAAGCACAGCCGAACCTCCCTTAGGACTGAAGTTTCTATTATTCAGTGCAGACTTACGGCAAGCAAATTTGAGAGACTGAGCTAGCCGATAGCAGATACATAGATCAGTGAATGATTCTGTGAGCAACTCTATCTGCCTGCCTGCTCTGCCTGATTTTGGGTAAAAGTTGCTCTTTTTTTATAAAAAAATCAATATTTATATCAATATTTACAATATTTACATACAAGCCATGCCCAGACAGTCACGTGACCACCAAGCCACACCCACAAATTAGGCCACACCCACAGAACTGGTTAGTGGTCCCTGGGATTTAAGATTATGAGTTTGGTGGTCCCTGAGGTCCAAAAGTTTGGCAACCCCTGGTTTAGACAATTCTCTCTACTCCTCATTTACAGACTGTACATTTTAAACAATATCACTAATATATGGTACTTATATTAAAAGAAGCCAGTGTGAACAATGACTGACAAATATGTGCCTTCAATTTACAAGAATAACCACAGGGCAGTGATGGCTATTTCATATTTTTGCTGCCTGAAGCCATAGCAGAATGAAACAGAATGTGCAACTCAGCCCAGGGTGCTATCAGATTAGCTACAGAGATGTTACTTGAGTAAAAGGAAAAATAAAGTTTGATGGCTCCAATATTAGTTGACTAGCTATGTTAGTCAACTAATAACATGAATTGTAATAACATAAATTGATAAACTTCATTAAAATCACATTTCTTACTCTAAAGCTGTGAAACAGACAAGAAAGTGAAACTGAAACAGTTCTGATTTGTTTTTCCAGTAAGCCTTCTTCAGTATTTATGGAGTCATTTCCAGAGCAATTTATTGTATTTGTTTTTATTTGTCTGCCCTTTCTTAATGCAATATTTTAACACTACTTTCCTAAACAGTTTTAAGCAGGGGTGGGATTCAAAATTTTTAACAACCGGTTCTGTGGGCGTGGCTTAGGTGGTGGGTGTGGCTTGGTGGTCATGTGACTGGGTGGACATGGCTTGGTGGTCATGTTATTGGCTGGGCATGGCCAACCTAATATCACTCACATAAAGGCACGCATCTCCTTGCCTGGCCTCTCATGACTGTGTGGATGCTGCAACAGTCATAAGTGTGAAAAATGGTCATAAGCCACTTTTTTCAGTGCCATTGTAACTTTGAATGGTCACTCCACACAAGCAAAGTACCAGCAAAGGAGGGGAAAAAAACTCCAGAGACATTCCTGAGACAGAAAGTCTAGCCCTGCCAAGAATGTAATAAGGGTTAATGGAGAAGCAGTTTCTGTAAGCAACACCAGAATGTTTCCTTCCTGCCTTCCTTACAGGATTAGGCCAGTAATTTCTTCTAACAACCATTTCTCCAAACTGCTTAGAATGTTAACAACCGGTTCTAGCGAATAGGTGCAAACTGGTAGAATCCCACCCCTGGTTTTAAGAGAATATTGCACTTAACATATGAAGGATTGTTCTATAGGTTTTTTCTATGTTCAGTTGATTAGCCCTGTAATATGATCCCTAGTAAAAGTATAAAAGATAAAATGACAAATAACAGATTCTTTCTTTCTTTCTTTCTTTCTTTCTTTCTTTCTTTCTTTCTTTCTTTCTTTCTTTCTTTCTTTCTTTCTTTCTCTCTCTCTCTCTCTCTCTCTCTCTCTCTCTCTCTCTCTCTCTCTCCCTCCCTCCCTCCCTCCCTCCCTCCCTCCCTTCCTTCCTTCCTTCCTTCCAGGGACGGAGAATTGTGCCTTTAGGTTTCCCTTCCAAACCATGGTTTGTGACAGCTTACCTCCAGAACCACCCAGAAATTATATTGAAAGGTTTGGATATGTATCACTGATATGAAATAAAAGAATAGAAATACAAAGAAACTAAAAATTGCAGGAAACCCACCAAATACAAAATTATCTAGCAACTACAATCATGCAGTACAGATATAAATACTTATTCAACTAACCTAAATAAGGTATTCCCTGTTGGGATGCTGATGACTATCATCACTGAGCTTCAGATACCCAGATAACTATTGAATGGCAGCAGAATTTGGGTTTTCGTGATTCTTTGCTTTCATCTTGTAGTCACTAGGATTTATGGAGTCCAGATCTGAAAGCTTTAGGGGAGCCACCGTTAAGAAAGTCTTTACAAATATTCTTTTACTGTGAAAGCAACATTTCTTACAAGAGGTCTTATATTAAAAGATGAGCAGATTCATGTGAGGGAAAACAACAAGTAACCAGATGTCATGTCACATAAAATTTTAAAGATAATAAGTGACAATCTGAAGTGTTCTCGGAAATGGAATGCTAGTATAGTATCTGCCTTGTAAACCCAAGAACAAGAATCACTGCTCAAACGTTGGTGTCATATAAACGAGGTACTTAAAACTAGCATGGACTCTTAATAGTCTGCAACTCTACCGTTCTTGATTTACACCTATTTTTTTTTTTTATCAGTTTGTGTGTTGCCTCAGTCACTATAATAATTCCATGCAACTTGGAGAGATTCAAGACACTACTTTTAGCCAGCTAGAGATCTCTGTAAAAAGTACCAAATAGGCATACTTCATCCAAGATCAATAAAAATCTTTAGAAATTTTGTCTGAATTCCATGACTGATGCTGATCCAAAGCACATATCAATACTACAAATGTTCTCCTGCAGTAGACTCTAAGTGAAATGTTCTTTAGCTTCTTACATCTTGGGATTTCCAGCAACAAATGATTTGGCAGGATTCTTCCCTTGTACAGTTTGACAAGATAGGGACCTAGGAAGTGAATATTCTTTTTCTGCCAAAGTTATATTGCAAAAGCAAATATAGAGTAGAATAGTGATCTCAATGATTTCAGCAGCAACAGAGCTGCTTCCCATTGTGCACCAATTGGAAGTCGCAAATGGACTTTGCAGAGATGGGCCCCGGTTGTGCTAAATATACCTTTCCAGGGGCTGTGTAGGCCAGATAGGTAGATATGTGGCTGACTGAGAATAGAGGAAAGAGAAAAGGAATTCAGTATGCAAATGTCTTTCAATTATCCATTTAATGATCCCCAGTGCCCCCCTTGTGGTCTTTTAAGCAATGAATGTAATGGCCTGATTGCTGTGACTGACATTAACCTTGGCAGTTGCTCAGCTGGATTAAGCTGGCCTTGTGCCAAGGAAGCCAATGAGGTGATTGTGATTTACATGCTGGCTGATGACATCAACTGCACTGCTCTTTTCACTGGGTGGACATTTGTCTACTAGGAAAGAACGGTAAACACCTGGAGCATTTTGCCTTTTACAGGTGCTGAATTGAGATACTAACAATTTGTCATAGCCTTGACAACCATCCAGACAATAAGATACTTCAATGCAATCTGTTGAATAACTCAGCATCATTATTTATTATACAATAATTTTTCTTATTTCTCTCCCCCACCCCAAATTAAGAAACCACTTTTTCTTCTTTGTTCCAAGTGGAAATATATTAGTCCATGAAAAAAGGAATAGAAAGAAGAAAACTAATGGAAGAAGTAGGCTCAAATAAAGGACAGTCACTAAACAGGATTGGGGCATGGGGGGGAATCATTCTTTAAAAGAAACATACATCAAATTAATGGACAATAAACTCCAGGAATAAAAGAAGAGTGCTGTGCAGATGTTCGCTATGTAATCATTTGCTGCATTTATTCCTTTGACAAATGCCTAAACCTATAACAATTATAGATTGTTGTAACTAGCATTTCAAGAAAATGATCTGCCACACATACTCAGCCTGCTTCATCTGACAGCCGCCAAACTGCTTTTTGCAAAGTAGTTTAGCTCCAAATTAGCTCTCTACAGCATTAAATACCAGCTTGCCAGGAGATCTTTGAGATGAATACCATATATATCCATAATATTCTGGGATTTGAAGCATATGTGCCAGAAAGCTGAGATCACCTCCTTTTGAAAATACAGTATATATTACTCTGGGGTTCGTGTCAGTCTCAGAAATGGCAGTTTTAAAACCTTCCAGGGATGCTGATGTTAGGATCCTTTGGAAAATTGGCACTTCTATGAATTGAGGATGCTATGAGTGGTCAAGATGTTATGATATCCAAATAATTGTATGATAATTTAAGATACGGAAATCCCAAATAAGCTGCTCAACAGAAAATCATATGTTCATAGAATTTGTTATTTCTTTTTTCCCCGCTTAAAAAACATTGCTATTTTTTTTAAAAGAAAACCCCAAAAAAAGTTTACCCCAGAGCAATGATACAAAAAGAAAAAAGAAAAGAAAAAATTGTGATGTTATATCTAAAAATTTAATCTCTTACTTCAGTCTTGTAACAACAGTGTAGTTTTTAGCTTTCTAAAACACCTATATCTTAGTCATCCTCTATGTACTGCAAAGTCTTAATTTAACATGCATTGTGCTGTGCATGAGCTTGTCCTTGAAGATCACTGCATAGTAATTGGGTCCCCTACCTTTGCCCATGTAAACCTCTGTTGTGTGAAATGCACTGGCTTCCAGCTTCTTTCCAGGTGCAATTCAAGGAACTGGTCATCACCTTTAATGTCCTACATGGCATAGGGCCAGGCTATCTGCAGGACTGCATATCCTTAAGGACATTTAGCATGTCATGTCAGATAGGATGGGCATGATTCTAATCCTTTTCCCTAAACGTTGTCATCTGTTGAGAGCTATGAAGCTGTCTTTTCCATTGGAGCCCCTGCCTTATGTGACACTCTACTTCCTCAAATTTGGCAGCCTCCTCCCTTTTAGCTTTCTGAAATTTATAAAGAATGGGCAAACATTAGGAGAAAATTAGATGATTGTACATTAGAACCGATTGACACAAGGTTATTGTTTTAACATTTTGAAATGTTTTTATATGTCTTTTAATTTCTAATTGGGAGCATCCAGAGATAGTAGAAGTATAGAAGTGTAGTATTTATTTAAAACATTGATATAGCCACTTGTTCTGACCAAAACCTTGTTCCAAGGAAACAAACACAAAACAGAGGTAACAGCAAAACCTTTTAATGATTCTTTACGAATTCCGTTCCTTCACGGTTAAAAGGCTGTTTCAAACTGTCTCTGTTAAGAACGAGCCTTGCCAAGGTTGTGCAAGGCTGCCAAGAACACTAGATAAAGTGACTAAGAAATATTTCAAACACAAAAAGTCTCCAAACACCAACCAAGATATTCTGAACATCCACAAGGCTTGAGTGCAAAAACTTCTTTGCTTCCTGCAAAGAGCTCCTGTTTTTCAGCTGGCTTTTATCTCTTAAGGGAGGGGCCATTACCTTGCAGCCTTACTCCCGAGTTGCCCATGCTGCTGCAACTGCTCTTTCCTTTGAGCAGCCCTGCACGCATACGCACTGGGCACAGGCTCCTCAGGGACCTCTGCATCACTACTGCCAGCCTCCACAATCTCCAAAGGCAGCATTCCACTCCCTGATGGTCCTGACCCCATCCCTGCAATACACGCAGGCCCCTCATCTGAGTCCTCACTCTCCGAGACCTCAGCCATCTGCACCTGCTGCCCATGAACCACAGCACCACTTGTCTTTTTAATGGCTATATAAATGTTTTAAATAAATACTATACTTCAGTGTCAGAAGTACCAAAGTACCACTTCCATTATAAAAAGATCAGCTGGTAACATCACCATTGCCCAGGGGATGCCCAATTCCTTTTATCCTTTCATGTCCCTGTTGATGAATCCACCGAAGTGGTACCTATTCATCTATTCATCTATTCACTTTTGCACGCTTTCTAACAGCTAGCTGGGCAGGAGCTGGAGCGAATGACAGAAGTTCATACAGCAGCACTGGTTTTGAATGCAGGCTTGCTGATTGTCAACCCAGTGTTCTAACCACATGAGCCATCACACTCCCAGTTTTTAAATATGAATTGGGCCAAGAGTGTTTATTAAATCCAAATGTCTATTAAATCTAAATTTATATAATTGGCTTTCTACATTATTTGTATCAGTTTCCATCATTTGTGCAAATTTGATTTGTTGCATTCAAAATCCATTAAACAGAAGTTGCTAAATTGAGATTTCACTGTAATATCCTATTGCATGGAAGAAAAAGGTAGATGTTCATAAGTTTTCTAAAATAATAATGTATTATTCAAACTCCACTAGCCATATTTTATGCTTGATTTATTTACTAAACAGGTATTGTATTTTACTTACCTTTCTCTTCCAATGTTTAAAATAATTGTCACTATTGTACAAGAGTTCATAATCCAACTATGGATGTAAATTATTTTCAGGTAACACAAGAGTAAAGGTCCAAGATGGACAAGCTAACTTTCAGAATTTGATTGTGTCCAGCTCTTGCTCTGACTGCCACCTCATTTTCAAAGTTACTTCTCCTCCAGGTAAGATGCCTATCCAGGGGTGGGATTCAAATTTCTTAACAACTGGTTCTGTGGGTGTGGCCTAATTTGTGGGTGTGGCTTGGTGGTCATGTGACTGGCCTGCATGTGGCTTGCTGACTGGGCATGGCTTCGTGGTCATGTGATTGGCTGGGCATGGCTTGTATGTAAATATTATAAATATTTATGTAAATATTGAACTTTTTATTTAAAAAAGAGCAACTTTTACCCCAAATCAAGCAAAGCAGGCAGGCAGATTGAGTTGCTCACAGAATCACAGATTCATTCAGAGATCTATCTATCTGCAATCGGCTACCTGAGTTTGTCACATAAAATTTGTTTGCTAGCAAACTCATAAAATTTGCTAGCAAGCAAATTCACAAAATTAACTTACAACACACTTTGTATGTAAATATTGAATTGAGTTGCTCACAGAATCACAGATTCACTTAGAGATCTGTGTTTCTGCCATCTGCTACCTGAGTCTGCACTGAATAATAGAAGCCTTCAGGCTTCTGCTTTTAGATTAGCTAGAAAGCAAGAAATCCAATGATTTCCTCCTTTCTAGCTTATCTAAATCTCCCAGCATAGCAGAACAGCTGATGGTCGGGGAAAAAAAAGAAAAAATAGCAACTTAGCAGGCAAATTTGATGGCACGCATACCAGGTAAGGAGTGAGTGGGCGGGGTGGGTTGGGGCCAGCCAGTGGCACAATTTGCTGGTTCTCCGGCAGGTAGAATCCCACCTCTGGGATTGAAAATCCTCTTTTTTCCTGCTTTTTCAACCTCAGCTGTGCCGCACAAAGCAGCTGAGGTTGAAAAAGCAGGAAATAAAGGACAGCCAAGAGCCTGGGCGGGCGGCTGGGCCAAACAGAGCAGCAGACACTGAACCGGACCAAACCGGTAGCATTCCACCCCTGTACCTATCTAGTAAAAAGTCTAATGGATATCATTATAATAAACATTTTCTGAAGTTAAGCAGGCAATAGATAAGATCAAAGCCTTCCTATAACCTGCTTATGTGCTTTCTCAGGGATATCAAAACCTTTACTGTATATATGTATTTTATTTATTTCATTAAATGTGTATGTTGCCAATCTTACTAGCAGTAGTAGTAGTAGTATCTAGAGATATATGTATATACATATACAGCATATATACATGCAAAATAACAATATCATTAAAATGTTTTTTCAAGAAATTATAAAAACAGATATATAATTATATTTATTAATATTTTCAAATCCAAACTGCTCAATAGTTCATTTATACTAGAAATGGTGATCAATTTGTAAAACTCTTCATTAATTGTATATTTATGTCTATCCGTATCCATCGACATACCTATTTTATAGCACATTTGGTTTTTTTTATCAATTTAGATAGATCAATATTTCAACTTCTAGAGTGAAATGAAGTCTGCTTTTGCACATTTCTAAATGGATTCCAAGAGTTGGAAAAGCAGATTTGTGCATGATGCACACCAAATGTAATGAGATAATTTTTCCCATTTTCTTTGTTTTTTAATTCTGATAATTCAGATTGGATGAGAAACATAATTGGTCCTAGATTTAATTTTTTAGTTCAAATAAACATTTCTCCCATAGTGCAAATAATCCATGTTGTTGTAATTTTAACATGTACATAGTGCTCTTACATATTGCTAAAATGAAACTCAAGAGTGTATGTATGTATGTATGTATGTATGTATGTATGTTGCTTAAGATAATTGCAGAATAGCTTTTTTCAGTAATGGTCTGTAGGGACAAATGAACTGATTCTATTTTGGAAATTGGATATGGAATTTTAAATTTGGTGAGAAAAATATGATGAAAAGCTTGTGTAATGGTTATGTTAATTTCTTATTGAGGGTTCTATTTTTTTCTTTTTTGTGCCTCAGCTATGTGTGAGTCTGAATGTGTGTCTCATTTTTATAGTAAATGTGTTTTAATGATTTTTTTTTACTGTTGTTAGCTGCCCAGAGCCATGAATTTGAGATAGGTGAATGTATAAATTGGATAATTGAATTGAATAGATGAATGAATGAATGGCAGAAATATGGAAGGTTTCAGTGTGTAGTATTGATTAATGAATGACAGAGCAATTTATATTGGTTCAACATGTTGTCAAAACATTTCTCAAGAGATGTAATTCATTTCACATACCTGTCATAGGAGATCTTTTACTTTTTCTACTGAAGGAAAAGGGAAGGTAAAGAGTAACCCATTTTTATCCTAGCCATTGACAAGCCACCTTGTTTCTCAGAAAATAATCATATCAAAAAGAAACCAACTTTTCACCCTTGCTCCTACCAAACAAAGAAAAACTATGGAGAATTTTGGTGCCTACCAGAAAGATAGAATATGCCAATTGTAACTGAAAATTGAAACAGGAAGCAAGAATTGGCCTCATCAAAAGTCAGTTAGCCAAAAGACCATAAAATGTTACTCTTGGAACAATACAACAGGGAAAGATCAGCCACATCTTAACTATATAGATGTACTTGTGCATTTGTCTACATTTCAAAATACAATTCAAAACACACTGACGATGTCTCCTTGAATGGTTGACAAAACATTTGCAATTAAATTGCCAAGCTCAAAGCTTAAACCAATAGCTTAACTACCAACCAGAGCTACTAATATTGCAACTTTAAATATCATAAATATCTTTCGAGTCAAAACTCCAACCCCAGTAACCTCATAGACATCTCAATGTAGTTTCCTTGGCAATGGAAAATGTTTACTACTTCTTTCTTCTAGGATTTTTTTAAATTTCCTAGTCTAGCCTACAGCTCGGGGATTCACCTGTATTCCTATCAAAGTATTATAGGGACACATGCCTGATCAAAGACCAAATAATATTTGGAGCTCTCCAAAATTGCCCTATAAAAGCAATAGATTCAAGAAATAGGCCAAGGGGACAATGCCTTCAAGGTATTGAAAGTATTAATTCTTTGCACCAGTAAAAATAAGATGGACAAATTGTCTGTTTCTGAATTGCATTTTCATGAAACAGTATGTCTTTGCAGGTGCATTCAGCTTCATCTGCTGACATTTTCACTTAAAGGGCGACTGAGAGTATGGTTGAGACTGAGACTGGACAGGACTTTTCCCTAGGACTTTTACATAAGTGTAAAGGCAGCTGTTGAGAAAGATAATCAAGTATTAGCACGTTGATATTTATTATTCATATTCATAATGACTTCCTTGTTTTACTGTGTGAAACAGTCTGAGACACAATTTCTTTTCTTGTGATATTTGTTTAGATTTAAAGCATGTGTTCTTTGTTTTAATTACTTTAAGCTATATTTTTTATTTTTTTCAGGTGCTGCTTTATCTGTTGAATCAAGTTCTTTTACTGTTTCCCCTGTTGCTGTATCAGAAAAATCTGCCATCATCTTTACTGCTCTCCTGTGCTCAGTAGCCTCCATGCTTGTTTTGGGATTTGTTGTTATTTGTTGGCTCAAGAAAAGCAAGAGAAACAGTAAGTCACAAATTGGCATGATAATTATCTGCTGTGATTTATAGGAAAGACGGACTTTGCAATTAGCAATACAATTAGTTGGTGAAAGAATGTTGCAGTCCCCCAGTTACAACAGGGATGCGGAAATGCTTTCTGCTGATCCACATTTGCTTTGCCTTGAGCCTTCTGTGCTACAGTGGTGAAATTCAATCACCTCGCATCACTTCGGGAGAGGTGGTAGGGACAATTTGAATTGGTTGCTCCACCCGCCCGCCCACGCACACCTGCCTTCTTCCTTTTAGAGACTAAGTCCCACCACGCCATGCCCCTCAAGCCAACATTTTGAATTTCACCCCTGCTGTGCTAGTTCTTGATGGAGCATCTCTTGGGCCTATCACCATTGGCACTATGATCCGATGAGTTAGGCAAATGGGATCAGGAGACAAATTATGGAAGGGGGGGGAAAATAGCTACTGCACATTTTTATGCAAAATTGACTGTTTCATTCTTCTTGAACCAGCACACAAGCTAGAATTAGATTTTTCTAAAATTTGGCGAGCAGCTATTTGTTTTTTTTTTAAAGTACGTAAATGCTTATATTAGAAGTAATAGATATGTAAAATGTATGTTGGCAAAGTTAATGTAGAAGAATGGCTATGAAGAAAAAAAAATCCAACAACAAAAAGTTTATATGAAAAAGTGTGTATTAGAAGCAATGAGTATGAAAAGGGTCCTGGAATAACGATATTGTTGACTTTTAAAAAAATGACTATCTAATGCAGATATTGAAAGAAACAAACCAGGATGGAAAAATGAGAAACAATAAACCTGAATTTTATCCAACTTCACTCTTTCCAACTGTGTCAAATATATTCTGCTTAAAATATGATGTAATTGGTACTGATTATTACATTGCCCTGAATTTCTTTTACTTTTCTAACACTCCAATGGTGTATAGAATAAGATAGGGACTTTTCCATGGTTTCCTCCCAAGTTTCATGGTTGGTCAAAGCCTCTACTAATATAATAGCAATAGCACTTCAACTTATATACTGCTTTATATGTTTTATAGCCTTCTCTAAGCGGTTTACAGAGTCGGCATATTGCCCCCAACAATTTGGGTCCTCATTTTACCTTCCTCGGAAAGATGGAAGGCTGAGTCAACCTTGAGCCTGGTGGGATTTGAACTGCCAAACTGTAGGCAGCTGGCTGAAGAAGTAGCTTGCAGTACTGCACTCTAACCACTGTGCCATAGAGGCTCCTCTGGGTATACTAGTGAGCTGACTAAAAACCATTCAAGTTGCATTTTTCCCAACCAGATATGTAGTCAGGTGTTTCAAGATACAGTCATATGCATTGTTTGGAAATTTTGCAGTTCGATTCAAATTAAAAGAGTCCTAATATTTCAAAAAGTTGAAATGTCAGAATTCAAGCATTTATGTTTAATTTTTTTAATTATAATGTTTATAACTATAATACTTTTATTTGTCAACCCATTGCTCTGGAGAAAATGTTCCTGTAAAAATCAACAGTATACATAAAAATGGTTCCACATAGACATAAACTTATACTAAAATTATTTGAATTAATGAATGTTTACTGTTATTCTCATTAAACTTTTTAAACATTTTGATGTAGGAAATAAGCTCAGACAATCTCTGAAGAATAAAAAATGCCCCCAAATACAGGAAAATCAAACAAATTGTGGTATCCATCAGCACTGTATTGGGAAAGAATATGAACATTCCACTTCTAGGAGAGAAGGTGAGTTTACTGAATACCAAAAAGGCTGCATCCTGTTACAATGCATATTTTATCTGAAACATTTTAGCTATGATAATTTAGACCTGTGCCTGGCAGAGATTTAATTCTCTGAGCTGGACTTTTCTGGTACATTTCCCCCTTACCAAGTACATATAATATACACACAAAGAGAAAGTGAGATATACATATGCGCATGCCTCTATTGTAAACTATTGCTTTAGAAGTAAATTTTAGAGTTAGATTTTTTGGGGAGATGGCGTAATTCCTGAAGAACAATTTTTGTTTTCTATTAGTCTCTTTTAGATTTAATCCTCCAACATTTTATTTCAAAAGTTTTCAAGATACAGAAAGGAAATCTCAGATTTTGGAATCGTACAAGTTGTCCTCAAATTATGACCACAATTGAGCCCAAATTTTCTGTTGCTAAGTGAAACATTTGTTAAGTGGGTTTGCCTCATTTTACAATCTTTCTTGCTATAGTTGTTAAGAGAATCAATGTAATTGTTAAATTAGCCAAACTGTTAAGTGAATCTGGTTTCTCCATTGACTTTGCTTGTCAGAAGGTCACAAAAGGGGATCACTTGACCCCAGGACACTGCAACGGTCATAAATATGAACCAGTTGCCAAGCACCTGAATTTTGATCACATGACCATGGGGATGCTGTAATGGTCATAAGTGTGAAAACTGGTCTAAGTCACTCCTTTCGGTGCCATTATAACTTTGAACAATTACTAAGCAAACTGTTGTAAGTCAAGGACTATTTGTAGTATTGAGCAAAATGAATCAATCATTTTTGTACTGGGTACAGTATAGATAAAGGATATCTAAGGTTGATAACTATTATGAAAGAGAAAACATTGAAATTTGAATGTTCACAACCAAGCAGGATTTGTTTGACTTGCAAGTCACAAGTTATTTTAATGATTAGTTATTAAAAAATCCACTATTGAAAAAATATTATTTGAAATAATTGATATTAAATATTGATTGGCTAGATTTTATATCATCTATATTATGCTATAAATTGTTTTGATCAATCCTTTGTGAGTTTCACAAATCTATCAGTCAATCTATGAAAGACCATGGCTTTTGTTTAAAATGCTACTTAAGAACACAACTTCTGGTGATATATGCAAGCATTACATTATGTCATAATTCATCCTTAGAGAAACTGAGAAAAATTATGTAAAGCCACATAGAAAATTTTATGAAAAATGAATTATCATTTGAGACAATTGTCCCAGAGAGGAGGGGGTCAACCTATTTTCCAAAACACCAGAAGGAATAATGGATGGAAATAGATCAGGGAGAGATTCAACCTAGAAATAAAGAGAAATTTTCTGACAGTGATAACAATTAACAGTGGAGCAGTTTGCCTTTAGAAGTTGTGGGAGTTTCATCACTAGAAGCTTTCAAGAAGAGACTGGACTGCCACTTGTCAGAAATGGTGTAGGATCTCCTGCTTGGGTAGGGGATTTGACTAGAAGACCTACAAATCTGGTAATCTGGTAACTCGTCATGGCCAACAAACATGATGAAGGATAACTCGCCATGGCAAACTCGTCAGTAGACAACTCATTGCAGGACAATTCAAACAAATACAAAAGTTAAATTAATGTTATTGGAACCATGGCCAATAATAATAAAAAAGTCAATCCTGAAATACAAGAGTTATAATAATTTTGATGAAAATGTGGTCTACAATAATAAAAGTAACTGAATGAGATGATTAATACAGTATTGAAATGTCCCATGGTGAGTTGGCTATGGCGAGTTGTCCTAGACCCCAACTGGTAATATTGAGATGGCAGATGAATTATTTGATATATCTTATTTTTCCTCATTTGCAAGAAGTTGAGGAGATCCATGTCTTATTACAAAAGCAGAAAATATGTTTAGAATTTTTTCACTTTTCTCATACAATGTTACATAGTGGAATAAAGATTTTCTCTAGAAAGAAAAGTTATTGCATTTGTTACAGCAAGTGAAATGGCATCTTTGGATCAGGTCAGATATTTCCTTGTGTCCCTTCAGTTATTCAGGTTGTCTGGTAGATAATGGAATTTAAGTAAAGTTAGGATTTTTTTAAAGCTTTGTCAATTATTTACTCCATATTCATAGTAATCATTTTTATCTGGAAATTGCAACTAGCAATTTGCACACTTCAGTCAGCTAGGTTGTTTTTTTCAAACATATCCAACAATTCTTCATTATTGCTTATGTCTCCATGATTTTAAACCCATTTCAAACCTTGTTCATTTTGGTGGTGGGGATTTTTCATATTTGAACCCCTGCCATTGATGCAGTGTATCTCAAAGAATGCGCCTGGTTACAAGTTCTACCATAGAGTTTGGTTTCCATTCATGTTCTAGGGTTGGAGGCAAAGAAGGGCTAGGTTAAAGCTTGTGAATAAGAGCTTAGCCTCAATTTTCTCTCTCTCTGAAAATATTGCTTGACAAGGCACAAGTATGTGTGTATAAACTGAGGAGAAGAATCGTATGTTATTCTACTGAAGGTAAGACTAAGATAGAATGCAAAAAAGAATTGCAAGTGCTTTTCTGGACTGAAACTTGTTGCATATGAAGGAAGCAGAAAGAAGCTAGTTTTAAGTTTCATTTTCTGATTTTAATTAATATTTATTACAGAAGAGCAGAAGGAGCAAAAAGGAAATGCTACAGTTTGTATGTTTTGATATTTGCTATACTCTTTCAAAATACAGCATTCAGCTGTATGCCTTAGGATACATATCTGCTATAAATTCATTTTTTATCTAATTTGTCTGAGATCTAAGCTTCCTGAGATCAAAGGATCTGATTCTTTCTGATGTTGGCTCTGACATATAATGTGTGCTGACTTAGTTCTGTCTATAAAATCACAGTAGGAGACTGTCATAGTCCTTTGGAACCTTTACATAGTGGACTTTTATTTCAGCTGGTAAGGATGACAGATACCTCAATGATGGGAGCTAACATGTAAATAATTAATGGGAAGATATTTTTTTTCACTCTCTCTCTCTCTGCAAAAGAAAATCCAGGCCTTTATATTATTTTTTAAAAAGAAATTGCTGGAAGATCAGCAAAAAATCCCTGATATATTCAGATTTTAAATAGGAATAACAATATATTAAGCTAATATAAAATGCATAACATGAAGTATCTAATTTCTTAAACATCCCCTACCTTTTAAAACATTGTTGCTTTTGAAAATGGAGAGACCGTCAAAGGTAATTATTTCTCCTTCATTTCTGCCAGCTAATTTTATTTTCCGTGGAATATATTTGATCCAATATATTTTTTGGCATTTTAACTAGTGTTTAGGGATATAAAACAGAATAAACCAGTTTAGAACTTAATATAACATAAATCATCTAAGAGATTAGATTTGCTTTGATTTAGCTACTTTCATCCAACTGCATAATGACATAGGACCAAATCCAAATATTTTCCCTTTGTTGATAAAAGATTTTAATCAGCAGGTTTGGGAAAGATATGATTTTCATCCATTTCCACTCCTTTGACTCTGCTCATTTTTCAACTTCTCTTACAGAAGGATACTTTCTAAAGCCAACCATGCAAGAGTTCACTGATTAGCCCTCCCTGTTCTACTGAAGGAAGCCTTTTGTTGGCAAAGGAAATTAGCTGGATTCTATTCATGGTTTTAAACAGGGGTGGGATTCAAATTTCTTAACAACTGGTTCTGTGGGTGTGGCCTAATTTGTGGGTGTGGCTTGGTGGTCATGTGACTGGGGTGGGAGTGGCTTGCTGATTGGGCATGGCTACATGGTCATGTGACTGGGGTGGGCGTGGCCATGTGGCTGGCAACCCAAATTTAAGAGGTCCTCACTGAATGACCAGGAGCTCGCTTAGTGGCCAATTGCTTAGCAAGTGTTTTTTGCCAGTTTCCAAGGCCTGGAGAGGCCCTGGCAAGGCCCAGGCAGGTGGCCATGTGGCTGGCAACCCAAATTTAAGTGGTACTCACTTAATGACCAGGTGCTCGCTTAGTGGCCAATTGCTTAGCATGATATAAGGATTAATGCAAATTGGAAAGGAAAGACTGCAGAAATTGTGCACAAGTGATTTGTACCAACCAACACACTATGTAACTGAAGATAGTTTATGTTTTATGCTTTTGTTTATGTTTAAAAAAAATAAAACACTTTTATTTAAAAAAATTCATTTATGTATGCATGCAACTTCTTGTTACATTGATGTTGCTATATATTGATTTAAGCAGAAACAGATAATGTATAACATCAATATAACAAGAAGTTGCCTGTCTCCCTTTTGGTAAGTTGCTTTTTTTATTTATGTATTTATTTATTCTTTTACTATCTGTTTTTGTTTTTATTAATCATAAAAACAAAACAGATACTAAATAAATAAATAAACATATAAATAAAAAATATTTTACTATTCATCTTAATGTTTCTTTAAGCAAAGAAGAAACATCAAGATGAATAGTAAAATAATTTTTATTTATGTGTATTAATTTCTTTAGTATCTGTTTTGTTTTTATGATTAATAAAAACAAAAACAGTAAATAAATACATAAATATAAAAAAGCAACTTATTTTTGTAATTAGCGCACATGCGCTATAAGTAGGGGCGGGGCGGGGAGGGCAGGGAAGAATGAGAAAGGGATTTTTGCACGTGCGCAGTAAAAAAAACCAGTTTTTTTTTAAAAATGGTTTTTTTTTACTTTGGAGCAGCGGATAGGGATGGCAGCCAGGGCAGCGAAGGGAGGGGCGGGCAGGGAAGAATGCGGAAGGGATTTTTGCACATGCACAGTAAAAAAAAAACAGGTTTTTTTTTTACTTTGGAGCAGCGGATAGGGGTGGGGGCCAGGGCAGCAAAGGGAGGGGCGGGCAGGGGAGAATGCAGAAGGGATTGTTGCATGTGCACAGTAAAAAAAACAGGTTTTGGGCCGGTAGGAGTGGTGGAGAGGGGCGGGGCCAAGCAGGGGGCGGTTTTACCGATTCTTAGAACTACTGGTGACGTTAACAAAGGTTCTATAGAACCGGTGCAAACTGGTGGAAACCCACCCCTGGTTTTAAAGGATCACTATACGTAGGCCACCATAATGAGAAAATATGTGTCCTCTTTTTTTATTTCTTCTGTCCTTGTTTTATTTCTGGAATATAATCACCATTTCCAGATGATTAAATGTAAAACACAATAAATAAATATTGTGATAAACAAACAAACAAACAAACAAATAAATAAATAAATAAATAAATACTGGGACAACGTATGAAAAAGGAAGACAGGAAACATAGTTTGGCTAGTCCCCTTTCCTTTTTTGGCATCTAGACTCAATATACAGTTTTTCCATCATGTGTCAGTAGCTGTTGAGCAGCTTTTAAGAAAGCTGAGAATGTATTAATTTACTATCCTCATTGACAGACTGCATGTTTTACAACAGATATAAAACTGTGTGAAGAAGTTGCAGAAGAGCCATTAAAGAAGTTGCATCAAAAAACATTGAGCACCACATTTGCAGAAACAGCAAATGAAATCGAACAAGACCACTGGCTCAATAAAAGGAAATCAACCAGGGAGTCTCTGGAGCTTCAGGAACTTCACATCAAGGAGCTTAATGAATGGAAGAAGACCAAGCAGCATATCACTGACTATGTTCAGTATAAAGAAATGAAAGGAGAGCAATTCATAGACCAAAAACATAAAAGACACAAAGAGATCCCTGTGACAAGATCTGAAGAAGATGTGAGGGGAAAACAGGAAATTACAGTATCATAATATCCGAATGTTCCTGACTGTTTGGCTGCTTTTGGACTTCTCATTCTTAATCTAATTGCATATTTTGAGACATATAAATAGAGACAACTTGTTTAATTTTTAGAGTGAAATGAACAAAGACCAATGGGCAAGCAATGCTCCTATGAACTGTTTCTAGCACAAGTCACTGGAGACGGTTTCAGTACTGTTTTGTTATCTCATGATCACTGTCATTTCTCTTACTTACTGATTTTAGCCATATTGCTATGTATACAGTCATGGTGGCACAATGGTTAGAATGCAGTATTACGGGCTAACTCTGCCGACTGTCAGCAGTTCGATCCTGACAGGCTCAAGTTGACTCAGCCTTCCATCTTTCCAAGGTCAGTAAAATGAGGACCCAAATTGTTGGGGATAATATACTGACTCCGTAAAGCACTTAAAGTGGGCTGTAAAGCACTGTGAAGCAGTATATAAATCTAAGTGCTATTGCTGTGGCAGATGTAGAATGGTAAATCAATCACTCTTTTTGTTTGACTGGTTACTTGCTTCAGAAAATAATATTAAATCATTATAATTGTTTAAATTATACAATTCTTTAACTAAATAAAATAATTTAAAATGCTAACATATCCCATGGCTAAGGCAGTGATACAGACATATCTTTCTAGCACAATTTTCAACAACTGTGCCAAAGTCTTATGAATAAAAGTTGATTTAGAATTTATACTGGCCTTTGGAATCAGCATCTCCCAAAACTGCTGTCAAAGCATGTAGTCCACCAGAACTCACAAAATAAGCAGAATCAGTACAGTGATTTTTCTCATTTTCAGCATGAATAGATGTAAATGTCAGCCTTGGGAGCCATATTAGCACCAGAAGCTTCCACGCTACCACATTCCTGTGCCTGGGAAATTGGGAGGGGGGATTTCATAGAGTGGATGTAGTTAGACAAAATAGCATTATTCTTTTCCGTCAAGGTAATGTCATCCTGCACCTGGTTGAGAAGTGGTTAGAGGATTGTCTCAAGTTGCGGTGGATGGTGATTGGGCCATGTGATAGACTTAGGGGTGCAGGGGATGGGTCAGATTCGGGTTTTCCCAGATGTGCCAGTATGACAACTCTAATAAAATGGAACTTTGAGAAAATGCCTGTCTCAGAGTTTTGGTGTTGGAGTTTGTTTTTCTGGAATGCTGACAGTAAAGAATTTCAAGTGAAGGCTTGAATTATTCCATAATTTCTGATAAATTATATCCAATAATGTAATTTTCCATTGGATTAGCACTGCAAGTATTTTATGTTATTACTGTACTGAAAAGGAGATTTTCTTTCATATAGTTGGGTGTCACTATTTAGGAAGTCAGTTGACTTGGAAATAAATTGAGAATTAGGACAAGTCCTTGGAATATAGTTACATCTTGATAAATTTTGGTTTGAATTCTAGCAGCTGAATTAGTCATCTGTTGAAACTTCCAAGAGTAGGCCCACATATAATATTCTGTCATAAAACTACTTAAAATATTTACAGATATATTTCTATGATTAACTATCTATGAAATATTCTCATTGGTGAAATATCAAATCCATTTAAATCTGTAGTGACCATACAGGAATAAGGACCAATCCCTCTATCCCAGGAGTGTCAAACTCGATTTAATTGAGGGCCACATCAGGGTTCTGTTTGACCTCAGGGAGCAGAGGTGGGTGTGGCCAGAGTAGGTGTGGCTAGCTCAACATCATTCATGGTGGGATGCCTGTGGTGGCCTCAGCGCTCTGCCAGCAAAAACAGGCTCCCAAGTTCCATTTTTGGCTGCGACAGCTTCCTGCAACTCTCTGCCAGTGAAAACAGAGATTTGGAGGCCGTCTGTGGCCTTTGCATGTTCCGTTTTTGGCTGCAGTGCAAAAACAGACCCCAGGAAAGCCACCTGTGGTCCTACCAAGCTTCATTTCACTGACAGAGCCATCCAGGGCAGCCTCATGGGCCAGATCTAAGCACCCCATGGGCCCTATTCAGCCCCCAGGTCTTAAGTTTGACACCTCTGCTCTATCCCAAATAAGGTGCATATATTTGTACGATGAAAATATGGTATAACAATTAAGTTATCAGACTAGGCATAGAAAAAAAAATGATTTTCCACAGATATTTACAGATGATTATGGGCCAATCACACTTGGACTCAAGATTGTTGGGGGAATAAAATAAAGGGAGATTTCTGTGCAAGCTACTTTGAGTACCAGTTACCTAGACTACAAATCTAAAGAACATAAATGTATGGTTCTGGAACCTCATTTCATATGAACTGAATGTGTAATTGATGGATAAATGTGCCTTGCAAACAAATGGGCAGGAAAGCTGGCTTATACAACTATGTTTGTTTCAACAGAAAAAGTGTGAGATTTGTGAGTGTGCTGCTCCTTTGAAATGTCTATAACTGTAAAAGAATTCCTCAGTTGTGAGAATCCACTTGGGGTTGCGACTTGATCTTAATAGTTATAATGGTCAAAAGCAGGCAAGGGATGAAAATCAGTCTAGCTGTCGTGCTGATACCTTTCAGACTGGCTACTAATATTATCCCATCAATGTACCATTATCAGTTTCTACCAAATATGATATTGTATGTGTGTCCAGCATATTAATAATATAAGATGGGGGGGGGGGGGAATTGCTAGAAATATCCTCTCTTCTCTCATGCTGACAAAAGTTATTTGCTAAACCGCTTTTATTTGATGAGTGACAGGAGACTGGTGTCAAGTGAGAAAATGAAATGTAAATTATATTAAACACTTCTCTCATCTCTGGGTACCAATCCAGATTCCAAAGTAACATATCAAATCAAATCCTGTCTTCGCCGAAGGGCAAATGAAGAATCATTTCTCTTTAATACCATTCTTTTCTAGTAAAATATTTTTCTGTTTAGTAACTGAAAAATTAAAATATAATCCCCGTGTTAATCCTGGAGGGGGAAAAATGAATATTTTTAGCAACAAGAAAAGCTGTGATTGTATTTTGTGCTGTTTTTCCAACTTTCATGCCTGACTGACATAGCTTACTAGTAATTATTGATTCTACGCTGCATAAAATGGCACCTTTAAAATACTCCAGTAATTTTCACTGCAAACATTTTCTCCCTATGTTTACTGTGAAACAGAGGAATGGGGCAGTGATTTTCACAATGACAAATATATTGGCGTATTTAGATCAAATTGTATTATGACGAATGTCCTTGTCTGTGAAAAAAAAAACAGTTGCTGTCTTGTTTGTTTGTTTATTTGTTTGTTTGTTTGTTGAATTCATTTACTGTCCATCTCATAGCAAACAGCTATGGATGGCTTTTGTTAAAATGAATAAGAGAATATTTATATGCCTCTATGAAATTGGTAGAAAAAAGCAGGATACAGAATTTGGCTTTGATGTGAACAAGGGTCAAAATGGGGAAGGATTAGATCTCTAGGTGTAAGGAGCTGGACTATCCAGTGTTAGAAAGCACTGCCAAAAAGGAATGTATTGTACATGGCTTTTACCATTTCAGACAACTTGTTGAATAGCTAATGATGGGGGGAAATGGAGCTACCTAAAGATCAAATGATGGTTTCAAATTCTCTCAGATTCTCAAGGCATGAATTTTAATGCTATAAACTGCCTGGAGTCAGTCATATAAATTTGTTTAATAAATAAATGAAGCAGTTATGTTGTTGCAAAATCCATGTAAATGAACCATAGTTGTGTGGCTTAGAGATTTACTGGTAGAACAATTTTAGTTGTACTTTATGCAACTCACATTGTGGCATATAATTGTATGGCTACTTTTGGATATGGATTGTGCAATAGTCAAGAGGAATACCAAACTCATTTATAAAAACAGCTCAAGCAACAGCTTATTATCATAGGGAGGATTCCCCATGAAGAACCAGAGAAAGAGATTTCCTTAGTCTCTCATGTCACAATGCAGCTTCATCACCATTGACTGACCTGAATCAACCCACTGGGATTGGCCTGTCCCACTGGTGTCAGCAGCGGAGGCATGCTACAGGTCCTGTCAGCCTAATTATTCCTGCTGGCAGGGTCCAGGAGGAAGGCCTTCTCTGCTGTTACTCCTGTCCTCTGGAACATCTTGCCCCCACAATGTGACGTTTCCTAAGGGCCTAGAGATGAGGCGCAGTTGGCTTGGGGCTCCAGTGGGGGAACATCATGGAGAAGGTGGTTCATTGACAGAGCCCACTTTCCCCTACTGTTGTTTGATTTTAATTATTTATATTTTAATTGTCTATGTATAGACATATTTTTATGACTGTAAGCTGCCAGAGTTATCCTATGGTAAGATGGACAGCTAATAAATTTTGTAAAAATGAATGAATGAATAAATAAATAAATAAATAAATAAATAAATAAATAAATAAATACACACACACACACACACACACACATATCCATGTTTCCTCAAAAATAAGACCCTGTCTTATATTTGTTTTGCCAGCAAAAAATGCACCAGGTTTTATTTTCGGGGGATGTCATCCACTGACTAACCTCACTTGCTGGCCTCCGGCCTCCTTTTTTCTGTTAGAGGCCTTCAGGAACTTCTTCTTCTGTGGCCGGCAAGGCTTTCCTGAAGGCCTCTGCAGCAGATAACAGAGCTCTGGATCAATCTACAGAAGCCTTCAGAAAAGCCTTGCCAGCTTTGCCAGCTGCAGAAGAAATGGGCTAGTAAGGCAGGTGTCAGGATGTTCAAGGCCTGGCTACAACTGTCCAAAAGTAAGTTGTAGGGCAGCTCCACACCCCCATCCCACTCTAGCTTAATTTTTACCCGTGCACTCTGGAGTGGGTGGAATTTTAATTAGGGCTTATTTTGGGGGTAGGGCTTATATTTGGGCACATGTGTAAAAATCAAGCTAGGGCTTACCTTCAGGGTAGGTCATATTTTCAGGGAAACAGGGTACTTACATACAATGGGGAGTCCTGATGTGACAGAACCAGACATTCCCACTGCCCAAAGCACAATACAGTTCCCAGAGACCAAAGGGGG